GGGGCCTGGACGAGGGTCCTCCTGCTGAGCCCCGTGGGTGCTCTGGGCCACGGGGCTCCCTCGAGCCTTTGCTCTGGGAGGGGCTTCAGTGGGGAGGTGGGACAGAAGTAAAACCTAACACCCCAAGCTGCCCCCAAGTCATGATGAAATTGCGCTGAGAAGTAGGGCGGACTGAAACCACCACATTCCCTTAAACGACTGAAAAAGAAAGAGACCGAGGAAAGGGATACCTACAGGTAATCCAGAGAAAGGCTGGCGCTGGTCTTGTTCATGGGATGGTTGGTCAGGGTGATGCCTGGAGGGCAGAGAGAGGGCCTGGCATGACTGCCTCGGGAGGGGCTCCTCCGCCGGGCCCACCGATGCCCACCTCCTCCCCCTCCCCAATTCCCTTTCTGGTAACTCGGCCTCCTCCTCTCTTGGACCGCCCAACGCGGCTTGAGCAGCAGATGCGAACGCGCACAGGCAGAGCCGCCTAATTTAGTGCCACAGCCCCAATTCTCCCCGGCATCTGGAGACCCTTCCGCCCTTCCTGCTCACCATAGGCTGCACGGTTGCCCCGGCTACTGGGCAGGTTGGCGCGGAGGATTGCATTGTTGAGGGCGTTGAGGTAGGTGGGCATGCTGTGGTAACCTTTGTTGTTGTAGTACACCTAGGAAGGACGTGCAGGGAGGGGAGCGTTTGCACCCGGCTGTTCTCTCGCCAACAGAGGGCTTGGCTTGAGGAGGGCAGCGGGCACAGAAGAGGGCGATCAGCCCCTGGCAGCTGATGAACTCCGCTGTCAAACTGGGACATGAACTCCCATTCAAGCCCAGCCGGTTGGCGCTTCTGTTCTGCCCGCCACAGGTAGACGTAAACAGAGCCCCTACCTGGGCGGTGCTGCGGACAGCAATTTTCCGGACCATCGGGGGCGCCGTGGTCCCAAAAGAGGCTGGGATGGACTTCTGGATGTTGCCAAAGGACATGGCGCCATACCTGGGACAGGAAGGGAGCACCATTTGCTCTACGGGGACCTGCCCGAACTCCTCCTGGCGGGCCGCCTCCCCCACCATGCACGCACACACACCTGTGCAGCCGAAAGCGGTCTGATGTATAGAGCAGATACTCTGAGACGTTGCGCCCTGTGATGTCCACCAGTATGTCCCCCGTCACCACCTTCATCTGGGGGGGATGCCCCCCCACCCCGCTGGGGCAGGAGAAGCCGGTGCCCTGCATGGAGCAGGTACATTTGATGGGTTCGTGGATGATACTGGGCTGGGATGGGGTGGAGGTGACCGTCTCTGGTGGGGAGAAAAGCCAACACCGGGGTGTCACCCACCGCTGGAGGGAACTCAGGGCTCCGTTGCTGTGCACAGAAAAGCAGTTTAAAGAGCGGAAGAGAGTCCGGACAACTCTGTAGCAATCCGGCCTTCCAAGCACACTGGGGGTCCCAGAGCCCGTCCTCAGGGCCCCTCTTCCAATCAGCAAGACACGCAGGCTTGCACCAAACCCCAAAGCGCCCTTTTCTGAGTCAGCCTCTGCTCTTCCAGCCCAGCCTCCAGCCGAGTCCAGCCCGTACCTTTAACGGTGGGTGGGAAGGTGGTGAAATTCCAGGCCTGCAGCAAGTCCTCATCCAGGGAGAAGGGGTAGTCGGAGGGGGCTGGGGATGGAGGGGGAGGCACGAAGTTGGAGAGGGGCAGGCCCTGGGTGAAGGAGTCCAGGCACATGGCATCAAAGTACTTGGCAGCCAACATCTTGGACTCGTTGCTGTTGAGGTTCAGGGACTGAACCTGCTGGTCCAACGTGCTGTTGAAGGACGACTTGAGGACACAGGTGGCCCCGATGCCGGAGGGCAGGTAGAAGGTGCTCACCAGCTGCTGGGGGCTGGCGTCTGGTGATGGCTTGCTAAAAGGAGGAGGAGGAGGAGGAGGAGGAGGAGGAGGATCTTTCAGCCCCCGCTTTCCTGTCCCTGACCCGCCCCAAGCAGAGTTCAGGAGTCTGTCTTTACTCGCCCGTCCCATTATCCATGAGCAGATCTACTGCCTCTGCAGCTGGCTGTTCCATTGTATTTATCAAGCCTTGAGCTCTGTTGCCCCATGAGCCAACGGTTTCCCTGGCTTTTGAACAGCCGGCTATGTTTACAGCCCTGCTCACAACTGGGGGAACATCTCTGCCTGCTAAGTTCCCTACACATGCATGAATTAGGGACTCTCAGGGACCCTGATGATGGCTGTGTGGCTGGGAATGATGGGCGTTGAATGCCACAGACTGGGAAACACTGATTTATGCAGTGTGCCCCTGGTGAACTTTCTCACGATGGAGGAGAAAAGCAGACATCTGTTCCAACCAAACCCTGGAGGATTCCCCTCTAAGGAATGGCCACTGAGGCAGATCTTCTCTACCCTGAAAGGGGAAACGTTCTCCTTCCTACACAGCCCAGCCGTCCAGGTCTGAGAGCCCCTCTGGACCAGATCCCGGCCAGTGCATGGGGGGCAGGGTGGGGAGAGTGCAAAAGGTGCCCATCTCTTACTGGTAGCCACGTTCCTCGTTGGCGTACGGAATGAAGTTGCCTCTGGGCTGGGTGTAATTGTGATACTGAGACGGCGAAAGGATGAGGGGAGGCAGGTCACCTGCAGAGCAAGAGGGAGGCCATAACCACTGCACTGGCCGCAGAGGGACACTCCCCATTCTGGCAGCAGAAAAGAGGGCCCAGGAGAGCAGGAGTTGCCTGCCCCATCCCTAAACACCCTTTAAAATCCAGCATTCAGCCCAGAAGCCCTAAACCCAAAGCCAAACGTCCAGCCACTGGGAGGACGCTCAGCATCCTCCGCAGAAACGCCCCTCTGGCTCTCATTCAACAGAGGAGCCCTCCGGAGGGTAAGCCTTGGGCCCCATTGGGGGGCAGGGGGAGGAGGGCTCCTGCCCCCCCAGCGGCCAGCCTTCCTCGCTGTGGACAGGCAGGGCAGGGCAGGGCATCCCCCATACCTATTTCTGGGACAGAGAGGGCCACCGTCATGGCGACGCAGACGAAGAAGGCCGGCAGCAGGATCTGGGAGAAGAGCGCCTTGCTGTTGCGCTTGGCACAATGGAAGCGCTTGACGATCAGCCCGTGAAACTGGCGCGGCTTCAGCCAAGAGCCCTCCCGCTTGCAGCTGCCTTGCCCGGCCAGGGCTGCCTCCTCCGGATCAGCGTCTTGGTCTGCGGGGTCGGGGAAGGAGGAAGAGGAGAAGCGATGGAAGGAGGGAG